ATGTTATTGCTCTGGTTGTAAAGTATCACTGCCAGCACCCCTTATTGTTATTGCTCTGGTTGCAAAGTATCACCACCAGCACCCCTTAATGTTATTGCTCAGGTTGCAAAGTATCACCACCAGCACCCCTTAATGTTATTGCTCAGGTTGCAAAGTATCACCACCAGCACCCCTTAATGTTATTGCTCTGGTTGCAAAGTATCACACCCAGCACCCCTTATTGTTATTGCTCTGGTTGCAAGGTATCGGTCAACAAGTAGAGGGTGTGACCCCACTGTGCACGGAACACTTTGATTGTTCGATGGCATGATCTAATTCCTATCGGCGTTGGATGCTCGGTGACCGAGTAAATGTATTCGACACACACATAGACTGTGTTTGTTCTTGATATATAACTGTACTCAAACACCCAATAAGCTGTGCTTATGCTCAATATATAGTTCATGAACGTGTATCTGTCATATATTGTGTCTGCCTCACCATAGATCAGCGGACTGTCTCTACGGTGTATCTGTATTCAACACACAAACACGCACCCACACCCATATATTATATGTACATGTATATGTATGTATATATATATATATATATATATATATGTATGTCTCTGTCTCTGTCTCTGTCTCTGTCTCTGTGTGTGTGTATCCGTGGTTGTGCTCCATATACTGTTCCTGCATTCGGCACCCGCACAAGCTAACCTTACCCTATCTCCCATCGCAGATCATTGAACTGGCACAACAAGCGGAGCGTATTACCCAGTTATCCGCTGCGATGGAGAAGCTAAAAATAGCCGCCAGCTCCGGAAGCTCCATGAATGAAGAATTCCTTCAGGTCAACAAAGACCTCGAACAAGCCCACAGCGACCTACACACAATCAAGAAGCGCGAAGCCGAGTACGTGTACACCATAGGCAGGCTCAGCGAGAAACAGGACAAATTCAAGGCAGACAAGCACGCAGCCGACGAGAGCCTGCGGCAGTTGGTGGAGAGGCACCAGAAGGAGATGGCCGAGGCCAGACGAGAGATGGACGCCCAGGTGTCCGATCTCACACAGACACTCAGGTGCGTTGGGGGGGGGGGGGCAGGACACTATTGTATGATATTCAAGGACTCTATTGTATGATATTCAAGGATTCTATTGTATGATATTCAAGGACACTATTATATGATATGTTTAGGTCGTTTGTGAGTATGTATACGAGCGCAATGGATCCATTTACGGGTACTTAGGACAAAATGAACGTATACACGAAGAGTGAGGAACAAAAAAAGTTATTATGTATATATATACGGACAAATTGGGCTCATTTATGGTTAGCTATGAGCCTAACCGGTCCACCCACTGACTACGTGTTCGGTGGATTGTTTGTGTGTGCCGCAATTGGGTCTGTCCGTTGAGTAGTGCATGCGCTCAGGCGGGTCGAATGGCTATGACCAAAAATAGATCTGTACCTTGACTCATGGTGTGTTAATATATGTATTCGTATTTAAAGACGATTTTCAATATTATGTAATATATTTTGATAGTGATAGAGGTTATATATATTCATTTATGTATATTCGTATATAAATATAATTCTTAATATACTGTATGTTTATTGTTAAAGTTGAATTTCTATGAGCACAGTAAGGTTAATTCGTTGATGAAGTGCAAGCGCAGTATTAGAGCTGGTAGGTATATTTGTGTGATTGTTTCACTATCATGATTGTGTAAAGTCGGATGTATCCGGCTCACACATGTATAAATGTATGTATGCATATGCGTATACATGTACGTAAGCATATTTGTATATATGTATATAAGCATGTATGTATATATGTATGTGTATTCATGTATATATGTATGTATGTATGTATGTATGTATGTATGTATGTATGTACGTACGTATATACGTATATACGTATATACGAATGTATTTATAGTCCATGTAAGTATGTGTAGTATATGTACATGCATGTATATACTTTTAGATAGAGTGACCGCGCGAGAAAACTCCACACAGAGATGTCATTGTACTTGAAGCCTTCGCGCTTGTTTCATATCTATGGGCAAGATCTCCGACTAGTCCTATCTCTAAATACTGGGTGCGAGTTCTAAGAGAGCATACAAGTCAATATATTTAGTGTTTATGTTGATACATACAAACAACTATAGCAGATGTATAAATGTAGGTATGTATGTGGGACTGTTTCTTTCTTTATCTTAATCAAATATAGCAGATATATAAATGTAGGTATGTATGTGTGTCTGTTTCTTTCTTATTTTAATCAACTAAAGCAGATATATAAATGTAGGTATGTATGTGTGTCTGTTTCTTTCTTCTTTAATCAGCACAGCCAAATTGTGTACAGTTAGATGTGTGTGGTTCAAGCAAATTCGCTTCCGACACTCCTTGTAGGGGCATCAATGATACCAAAGAGAAAGAGAAGGCAGAGGTCATACGTTTGAAAGACAAAGAGCTGAATGAAATCACAAGACTACGAACCGACGCCATAAACAATCAGCAAAAGGAAATAGACGCTTTGGCAGCGGAACATACAGCCGCTGTGAAGGCCAAGGAGAAACTGGTAACTATAGCAACACATTAAGTGTATTATTAGTAGGTAGTACCTATATCGTCTGCGGAAAATGTATTTGCTATCTGGACTACGGGTATGCACACGGATAGGTACAGTACTGTAGTCAGGCCAAGGAGAAATTGGTAACTATACCAGCCGACCTGGTGCATTGCTAGTAGGTGGTACGTATAGTCTGGAGTACGACGGTTCATATTGAGTGCACATATTATACCACGTAACAAACTTGACAATACGTACACGGAGTGTGGAAAACGTACTTCGCATCTTGAGCATATTTGATGCCGCGATAACAAGTACGTAAGCTAACCGGTGAACGAGTTTTTGTTTGTCAAAAAGCGACTGCAGTCTTATAACGCAAAATTTGGGTGTATACTTTGCAAATGCAGTGTATATCTAATTATTTATATATATAAACATATATATATCGTATGTATGTATGTATGTATATGTATGTATATGCATATGTATATGTATATGTATATATATATATATATATGTGTGTGTGTGTTTGTGTGTGTGCGTATATATATATATATATATATTTATATGAGCTACCGCGTAGTGAGTCATACGCCTACCCTCTCCTCCGACTGGTCGGGGGGAGGGCTCAATAGTAAAAAGTATTTTTGAAAAATGGTTTACCTTTATAATATTAGGTTGCATCAGTCGTTCTTCGATTGCTTTTTTTTTGTCATGGCTAAAGATTACTAGCAGTGTACTGACAAAACTACACGTGTATATACACATATAGGCAAAAGACCTATCACGAAGCAGAGATCGCAGCATGGCCCTGGAGAAGGAGGTCTTTGCCCATGTGTCTACAAACACAGGTAAGCATATGGTTCATATCCGCAAATTACCTTCGATATGTACACTTTAATGTATATATACAAATATGGTCCTTATACATAACTTAATTATGTACGTGTGTATCATGATGTTAATATAAACATGCATATAAATATATGTGCGTCTAATGGGTTATTTTCGTATGTATGAGTAGGTCTATGTTGAATGTTGAGTTCGTATATGTGTGTGCGAGTGCACAAATGAGTTAGACTGAGTGGCTGTTGGTATATGTCAAATAAATGTCGAATGATAGTTTTATTTATGTATGTTTTATTTATGCATTTCATGTACGTATGTATTTATTTATATTATATATATATATATATATATGTGTGTGTGTGTGTGTATGTGTGTGTGTATGTATATATGTATATATATATGTATATATATATATATGTTTAGATATATATATATATATGTGTGTGTGTGTGTGTGTGTGTATGTGTATGTATATATATAATATATATATATATATATATATATAGTATTTATTATATTGTATATATATATAATATATATATATATATATATATAAAGATATGAACGAAACACACAAAGACATGAACAAAAACAGAAACAAGAGTCATGAATGAGGGATTGAGATCATTTGTACACACATACGCAGCTTTTCCCCCCGCAATATATATATATATATATATTTAAATATATACATATATGTGTATATATATGTATATATATTTGTATATATATATATATATATATATATGTATATATATGTAGGTATGTATGTATATATGTATGTATGTATGTATGCTCTGCCGTTCGTCTCCTCACAGATTAGATTTCTATTGTGCGATCATTTTGTTTTATACATTAACTTACTGCGTATGGAAATACCCCATATTGCGCCTTCCCGCATATAAAGGCATCGGTAGTCTCGCACGGTGTTTCATCTCGATCCAAACTTTGCCTAAACGCTCACTCTACGATTCTTCATGTGGACAGATCTCAACAATAGACTCATGCAAGTCACAGAGCGAATGGACGATGCGAAACAACGGATTGAAGAGTTGGAGTTGGTAGCAAGTGCTGGGGCGGGGAAAAAGAAAAACATGTTTGGCTTGTAGCCTGCAGAATTGTGTTTCTAAAATATTAAATAAACACACGCGATGGAGGGATGTATACTTGAAATCGCGTGTAAATTCTTATGAATAGAAACAATTGGTTTTTCTCCTATGTTCTTGAGCTTTTTGAGTTCTAGGCATGAACTTGTTACCAGAACTTTGACGTACACTGCGTATACGTCAAAATCGATATCGATCTACTTAGTAGTAGACAGGAGAGCAGCGGTGCTGACACGGTAATAACTTCTAAAGTTCTACCTGAAGAACTCATGGGTTGCTGGTATTGGCTGAGGGCTTATGCATCATATGATCGCTGAAGGACCGAGCACCTCAAAATCACAGAGGTTTAAAGAAAACATACTCAAACACTATAAGAAAATACAATACATCTCGACAATTTGAGAGTTGAGGACTTGAGTCTTGAGGTACATTGATGCTTGAACCTTGACCACCAATCGGATTATCAAATCTAGCTTCTTACTCGCATTTACCCATGGAGTTAATTCCTGTGACGTAATAGTTAGTTCAGGACTCTCTCTCTCCTAGATTATACATATGGAACCTCTGAACCAGTGAACCTGACTCCTGGTGACCTGGCCCCTGGAGCCAAATCAATTTTTGTTTTGTATGTTTTTCTTTTCTTTTACATAGTGAGCCTGGGCCCTGGGGTGTCGGCCGTCGGGTGTCCTATATGGCTATTTGGTTTTTTTACGTTGTAACAATTATTCGATCTGTATGCTATCAGCTATGTATATGTAAATAGGCTAAATTTAAATAAATAAAAATATTGTATTGGTATTATTTATGGTAAACCCCAGTCGGAGGCGGGCCTTTGGGGTTGGGGTTTGAGCCCTGCCCCCATGAGGCCTGGCTGTCTGGGCCTGGGGCCGGTCCTGTTTTTTTTAAATTTTAATCAACCCGTAATATAAATATAATTTCGAATATCTATCGTGGTTCCTTGACTAATAATATATAATACGTCCAATATAAATTAATATATTATTAGAATAGGCGAATTGAGTGGACAGTTTTTAGTTTTATTTATATATTTGGTAATTTACTCTCTCTCTCTCTCTATCGAACCCTCCAAATGAGTCCAAACTCCATGAGGACTGAGGTCTCAGAGACTCAGTCTCAGCCTTGAGGTCTGAGGCTCCCGCTCTGACGGTCTGACCTCGCTCACTCTGATATCTCTCTCACACCTGTTTACTCTCAGGGGTCTCAGACTCTCTTCCCAGGGCCCAGAGCGGCAGTGTCCCAGTCCCCCAGAGGCCCAACTGGCCAACATCCCAGAGGACTTCAGGAGTCCGGAGTCCCACTAAAGTGACTAATATGATGAGTTTCTGACTCAGTGATTCTCTCTCAAGTCTCGGTCTCTCAGTCAGTCAGAGTCAGCCTCCACAGACTCACAGAGTCCACAGAGTAGAGAGTGACTCTCAGAGACTCAGACTGACAGACATCTATGATCTCTGATCAGTGATAAGGGATAACTGATATGAGATATCAGATATCTACATATTAATTTCTTACTCTCTGTCTCTCTCTTTCTCAGTCTCTCTGTAAGTCTGTGAGTCTGTGATGACTCTGTGACTCTCTATTTTTCTCTCAATTTGTAGATATATATATTTTTTACTAAAAATAGTAATATGTATGTCCTACACTGTACATATTTTAGAAAAAAAGTCCTTGGGTTGTATACACTTTTTTTTAAAGAAAAATGCTTTTTCTCATCATGACTATTGTTGACGACAACTTGTTTTTATTTACAAGTTTGTATTTTTTATTGAAAGTATGTAATTACATATGTACTGTTGTTTTTTGATGAAAGACTGAAAGAACCCCCTGTAGGGCCCGTCCCCCGCCTCCCCCCCCCCCGCCGATTTTTTTAACACGTAATATTATAAGTAAATTTGAGCTCTCGAGTCTGTATTTGTTACTAAAATTAGTCTAAACGAGAGTATTTATTTGTACGAGAGTGAATACAGTAATATTTTATTTATTTTTTAAAATAATAGCCTGTAAGCCGAAAGCTCGCCAGTCACCACTGATTTGCGCGATGACGATGAAATTTATATAGAAATTACAGGACATGACCAAATATGAACATTTTTATGTGCGTCACCGTCGGCTTCAGACCAGAGTTGGTTGACTTGTGATTCTCTATATGCTGTGATCGTTGGGTTATGTTGGTATAAATATGTAGTAATATAATTATTGAGAACTCCTACAAGCAAGCAAAGTGCATATATAAGCAACCGACCTAATTTGGTAGAATATTCAACAACAAAAGTTACTGCAACACAGCGACAAATAGCCATAGTAATAGGAATTTATATCAGATACGATGAAGTTCAGCTTAAGTTTGTGCGCAACGATACTAGTGGGTACTGCCACTGCTATCACGCTCACATGTGAAGAATCAATTGATGCTGCGTTATGCACAAGTCGTGAGCGACTAGTGCCTGATCGTTCGTGCTGCAAATATAACGATGGCTGCCCAGGCATCCCCAAGTGCACTGCGGGGTACTGTTGTGAGGAGAATAGCGACACCACAGCCACTATCGCATATATGTCACCTGTACCTGTTGCAGGCAGTGGGGGTTATTATGAGCCTGTATCCCAGACTATCACTTGCGCTGTGAAGGAATGGGAAGGTGGATTTACTTGTTCAGTAGACAAAGTCTTGGATGACGACAAAGAATGTTGCAGATACCAAGGAAACTGTGGGAACCTGTCTAAATGTGAACGCGACTACTGTTGTGTGGATTCAGGCACTCTACCTCAACCATCCCCCGCTGCATCTAGCACACCTCGGCCCCCATCGTATGAGACCGAGTGTGGTGCGTCGGATGCTTATATCACCTGTGATACCGGTTACAGTCTAGAAAGTGACATAGAGTGTTGTGCTCAAAAGGGTCTATGTGGCTCAATGAAGTACTGCAGCAAGTCACAATGTTGCACGAAGAATGTCGCTACCTCTCCTGAACCGACTATCCCGCCTGCGGCTGGAGATGCTTGCTCGTGTGCTGGACCTGTCATCAATGAATTCTGTTACAGTTCTCTTTCCGAGGCATTGAGCAAGGCAAGCGAAGGTGACACTCTTTACTTCGGTGGTGACCATACTGTGTCCAGTCCGATACAATTTGAAACCGAAACGTTGAATTTCGTTGGTATTCAGTGTAACGGTCAGATGGCCAAGCTAATCGGAAACTTCAATGAGGTTAATGGCGGTATACTAGAGCCTCGCAACCCTAGTAACCACGATATTGTTGTCAAGGATCTTGAGGTGACTGGTGCCAGCGGCAGTTCGGCTGCTTTCCTTAAGGGCTTGGGATCTGAGACGGATGCTGGAAGCCAGGGGATCAAACTTGTACTCAACAACGTGTATGTGCACGATATGTCCGGTCAGAGATTGGGTGTAGGAATTTTTATCGGTGTGTCTAAGGGTCTTGTCATTGATGAAGATTGTCGCTTCGAGAACATCATTATGTCCACCGAGGAAGAAAACATGTACGCGGGTGGTGCGGCTGTGTCCGTTATCTACCTGTCTTCTAATTATGAGATCAGCATTGGTGGTACCTTTAAGAACTGTGAGTCATGGTACCCTAAAGCCTCACTCCACAGTGGTGGTGGTGCCGTGTACCTGGACTACATGGAGGGTGATGTTGTATTCACTGCACTGTTCGAGGGTAACCAGGCAAATCAGGGAGGAGCCGTGCACGTCCAGGGTGTTCTTGGAGAGATGCTTGTCAAGGGTGTGTACATAAACAACAAGGCTGTTGACGATGGCTACGGTAGTCGTTCTGGTGCATTCCGAGTCCTCAAGATCTTTGGATCCGGTAAGCTGATCATCAGTGCCACGTTCACTGACAATACCGCACAGGGCCGTGGTGGTGTAATTGCCACCAACATACATCTTTCGGGGTCTCAGGTGATCTTCATGGACGCTGTGTTCCAAAATAACGTTGCTTCTACCGTCGGTGGTGTGTGGAGTTTCTGGTCTAGTACCACTATCGGTGGCTCGATTATTTTCGAGGATACCTGCGAGTTCAACGGTAACCAGGCTATCCAAAACTCGGGTTCCAGTATTTACGATATTGCTGGCTCTGACGACAGTTCTATGATGTCCGAGGATGAATGGACTGGAGAACGAGTTGTTGTCGCTTAAATTTTAGTAAGTTCAGATTACAAGAAAACAAAGACCTTCCAATATAACTTTACAACATAATAAACTATTTATGCATTAATCCGTAAACATATCTGATGGCCTTAATTTTGCCTTGATAGACAACAAACCTGTAAATATGTTTGATTGTTAATTTGTCCATTGACTGAACTTAATAAAAGACAGAAAGTGCCTGATTTAGTCGACTTGCCTCATATCACTTTCTGCTAAAGCGGAGCGGAGAAGCAATGTACTGGCGATAGTTGTTGTCGCAAAAAAAAATAACTACAGAATTCAGATTCACAAGGCGATCATTTCAATCGCAATATGCAACCCTACATCACATGATCACACGTTTTTTTTTGCAATGTTATATGCATTTTGCGTCCTCTATATTCGAACAGCTAAGCACCACCATGGCATACTCTGAAAATGATCGCAAGTTGTTGTTAGTGCTTTAACTATGATATGCTTGTCGATTCCCTCACACTTTCCCATTTGCGGTATCAAACACGCGCTCGATGGGCAAAATCCTGGACACGGGCAACGTTCATACTTGTATTGTGCGACAGAAACATCAGTAGTGAGCTCATGAACCCGCGTGACATAGTCTTCTATCGTATAAGGTGCGAAGTATTTGGATTTCCAACTGTATATTGTCTCTGTGTTCAAGCACTACTAGTAGATGCACCGGCTTAGAATTTCTTGGTCCATTGACCCTGTATACTTATTCTGAACACAAATATTTTTATTATCCAAGCATCGTCTGTAACGAAAGCTACATTCTCACCATGAAGTACCGAGGTAAACCCCTTCTACAAAGTGTTCTCGACAGGTGGATAATATGAAAAGAACAGCAAATTTTAAGGCGCTCGTGCAAAACTTCTCGTACATAATTATCAAGTTTTTGAACACAAGCCCTAGGTTAATGCAAATCTTGTTTATATTTTGCTAAGATTGTACTTCCACCTACTATTCACATAAATCTATGATGACAAAGCATCAAACTATTCCAGAAAAGTAACCGAAAGTATTAAATCAAATTGCACAGAGAAAAATATACTCCATAGCTTGTGCCCCATACACGATTGATAAATAGTTGAATGCTTCGAGCGACAGCCAAATAAATTACGCAAAAATAACACGAGGATGAAGAAACCCAACTTAACTTAAGGTGATCATATTGTCCACTATATTAATACAGACCTGCACTATAAGTCGTAATAAATTTGACAACCAGGAGCATGCACCAAAACGTACTAGACTTAGGCCAAGAATTACTTGTTTAGCAAGCAATCGGTTTATTAAACTTCCTACTGATTGATACGGGCGCTTAACGCAAACCTCCTGTACGAATGTTCTGCTTACCCTTGTTGTTCTTGGCAACAGGGATAGTGTTCTTGATTCCCTGTGTAGAGTAAAATAACAATAGAAGTAAGAACAATGTACGTCTATATACAAGTGGTATACAGAGCTTCCACCTATTAAAAGCTTGTTGGCGATATGACATCAGAATTTGGGTATGGTTAAATCAGAAATTCATACTCTTCCTATCAAGAAGTAAAGTATCACATGCAATACGGCCGAGCTCATCGTATATGGATTTAAAGAAGTAAATAAATACACCTTATAATAACAAAACACTTTAGATTCACGAACTACAAAGTGAAAAGTAGTCGGAAACCTAAGCAATTATAAAACCGGAACATTGCACAAGTCAAAATATGGATACAGACGTACTCGGTTGGTCTTCTTGGCAACCTTGGCAGCCTGAATCTTGTCCTTCTTTTCCTTGGAGATATGGTCACGACGAGCCTTGCGGATCTGAATGAACGTGATGACACAAATTACGGATAAGAAAATGGCTGGAAAGAGAGAGAAGGAAACTCGACCAATAGTATAAGATACAAATAAAAGTAGTAGGTAGACACAGATATACAAACATATAGAAAGCCACATACACTACAAAAACAAAGTCAGTGAAGCGCAGCTAGCATCAGCATTTGGTTATGGTTAAATCAGGAATTCATACTCTTCCTATCAAGAAGTAAAAGATCACTTGCTGCTACGCTTCTGACTTATCTAAAATTGAACTGCATATACCCTCCTATCGCAACGTATACACATATACATACCAACTTGAAAATCCGGGCATATACGCTCTCTGACACTATGATCACAAAAAAGACTGTACAACATAACAACATACACAATCGGGCAGAAATTACAGAACAAGTTCAGTCACACAATGCAATCCATACATCGGCCTCAACAAACATGTCGACACACTCAGCAACCGTGTCCATAGCATTTTTACTTGTAACACATACCTCGCTTGTCTCGTTACGCTTGGCCATTAGAGCCTCACGCGTCAGTCCTCCGATGGCACGATCACTCTTGACAGCCTTGCGAGTCTTCTTGCGGGACTTCTCGTCCATTTGGGTTCCCTGGTACAGATTATTGTTATAATACGGACACATTAGGAGGAGTTAGTACACCACAATATAATACATATGACTCATAGAGTTAACTGCAAACCCTACGAGCTACAAGTTAGGTTGCTGGTACGGGACCATCAAGATGACAGTGGCTTCCCAACTGGCGAGACGTGCAGCGACAGATTAAACAGAAACAACAGCCGATACGTAACAGCCAACAATACTTTACTGATATACCACAACCTAACCCGGAATCAATCGACGTAAATAGTACCGTTTAAACTCAATACATACCAACACACTAATTATCGAGAGAGAGGTTCAGAGGAAAGAAGAAGGACTCATAGATGTTGAGGTGGCTGTTGAGCTAAATTTAATAGGCCACCCACTCGCCACTATAGCATTTGTCATCATTACATCTCTCTCGATGACACGAAGTACTGACACGCATTACTCCAGTAGACTAAGCTTGGATGCAGAACCTTGCACACAAATACAGTCTGCAAACGTCGTAGCGATCATTGTTAGCAGCCCGCTTCCTTATTCCACGAGCTCTACTTCAAACCTACATACAAACATACATATCTACATTTATATATACATACATTAATAGATACATACGTCGTTCATACATGAACCGTGGGCTTCACCATGTACCCACAACCGCAACTTCTACGCTTACCTTCTTAGCTTTACGGCGGAAAAGAACAGTCCAACTGATCTTACGGGGGTTTTTGCGCTGCATGAACAACGACGAGCACTTGTTGTTGATAAAGTTGTAGACGCGGCCGTCAAGACGCACATAGCGCTTGCCCTTGCCGGGGTAGATTTTCGCCCCGGAGAATACACACGTTTCCGTCCTGGTAAAACAAAGTGTAGGGATCGTTAAGCACACACATGTGGGACATATGTATATGGTAATGAATTTATACGTTAACGAATTTCGCTCGCGTACGATATACAGTATTTACGAACCACTCATCTCTTATAAACACGAACTGCACATCCACAAACTAAGAATTTGGCTCGTAATATCTGTACAGATGCGCTTTCTTGAGAACAGCTCCGTATGGCAATGTGAATAAGTAATTGCCACATACCCTGTAGAAGCATATGCTATTGTGCGCTTATTCTTTCAGAGTTGCATCTATGCACGTCTATTTAGTTATTTCATGCATGCTGATTCCCCTGTATGCAAATCTACAGGTACAAATCCCCGTGTATATGAACCAACATGAAGTTGTAGACACAGAGTAGCTGTAAAAATTGATACTCGTTATCCTACGCCATTCATAGACACCGCTATGACTAGATGCTACAAGGGATGGTAGATGGGTTGCTCAGAGGAAAGAAGAAGGACTCATAGATGTTGAGGTGGCTGTTGAGCTTAATTTAATAGGCCACCCACTCGCCACTATAGCTTTCGTCATCATTTGCAACCATCACCGTCCATATGATCATAGATATACATACATACACACATACATAATACATATGTACATATATATACATATATATATGCGAACATGTATATATACAAACACATATATATATATATATATATATATATACATAAAGCATACACATATATACATGTACATATATACATGCACATGTATACAACATACACATGTATACATGTATCGCATATAAACATATATATATATACATGTACATATTCATGCATATACATATATACGTGTACGTATACATATTTATACATTTATATACATACATACGTATACATGCTTATTTGTATATACATATTTACGTATATATGTCTATATGTATATACATATTTACGTATATATGTGTGTGTTTGTGTGTGTATCCTGACTACATTCTTGGTGTTAGGTATATGTGTATGGGCAAATCGTGTGTATTACGTTAGAGATATATCTACATGCATGTTGTGTTCTCGATGTTTCGTATGTGCATGATAGTGTAAATGTGAAGATTCTCGCGAATACAGGCACTTCTTCCGCACATCCATCTCTAACTGAGATATGCTGATATCTACCCGTCGTTTTAGCACTCAGCCATACATATATGCCTATATATTCTCAGTCAGGTATACATAAATGAGCTGCACTCATATAAAATTGATGATATATGATGAAATTTTGTTCTCATCTGCATTCCTGTTTTTCCTCTTTTGCGTAATGTAATCGAGTACTTGGACGTAAATCGTCTACGTTTCTTGTGGATTATGATGTGCATGTGTAGGCTACTATCAGCACCATGCCGACACACTCGGTCAGATAGGTGGCGTCCATAGGTGTGTATCCGTATGCTTGTTTTTGGTTTTCCGTACACTCTTACTTACTTCATGTTGAAGGTCTAAAGGAAACTAAACCAAAAAGGATATGCTTATTGCAACGTGCCCCTGTTTTGTTTCTTTAGTTTGTTCATATTGCACAGCCACCACACTCTCGCTCCATCTGGTTGGTGTGATTTGCTGAGTGTTCCTGGTCCACATGTATTTTGGCGTCGAATTTCAAAAATATATTGAGGATCATTGGAAATATAGTACAGTTGTTAAGCATACCCCTATAGTGGACAATTAAGTACTTCAAATTTTAAACCCAGTTAGAACACGATAGATAAATCTGGGTTTGTTGGTAAACCCGTTTAGGTTTTTGACCTGAGGTTCAAGCGAATTCAATTTTGTTTTAAAGTTGTTTTTTGTAGCCTACTTATTTTATTTTTAGAATTGCTTTTTTTTTTTTTAAAGAGAAAATAAATTATGTACATATTTTTAACAATCACTTCATGAATGCTATCCTCAAACCGTTTCTCGTCAAAACTTATAAATCGAATAAATATACGTTTAGGTTCGGCTGTTATTTCAAATGCGGTCCTTTGAATGCTCATAGGTGCAGCTTTTGGGTTTAAACATTTAAGTGTGTACCATATTAAACGATTCGAACCAGTCCTATAAAAGAACTTGGGTAGGCTCTTCTGATCACTTTATAACCGTTATAACGTTTTAAAATTGATTAAATATGCGTTTACGTTCAACTTCTATTCCGTACACCCGTAACGTTATGAGCTTAGCACATTCTTTTTTTAAGTCTGTGGCTTGGGCTTTTTTTTTATTAAAAATCTAAGAGAATATTTTTATTTACGTGTAATTTTAGTTGAACGACACCGAAATATTAGAACCGTTCTAGCCTCGGAGCTCCGAACATACACCCGTGTGTAGCGAGATCAATTATTTATATGATAGGGCCCAAGCGGGCATGCCACATGATAATACAAACGATAAACGTAAACGTTATTTGTATTTTTCAAATATTATACGTTTAAACGCAAAAGATTGGTGTTCGCTTCATCACAACAATAAAAACAACAATGAAAGAAGAAATATACGTTTAAACGCAAAAGGTTGGTGTTCCCATTCATTTTTCTATTAATGGATCATCATTGGTCCTCCAGAGAATTCGGGAACACAAAAAGGCAAAAGCTGGTGGCCCCCCACACTCAACAGACCCCCCAGAGCCAACACTCAGCACTGCAGTTGTCCGAAAAGTGAAGCCAATTCCTAACGCCCCATTGGACCAACTACAGACGCAAGTCACAACCACCAAAAAAAAAGTAAACAAATCTCTAAAAAAGTATATTTATATTTATTTTTGAAGATAAGACCGACGATGAGGCTTTATTATTGTTGAAAACATGTATTCGATGCAGTTATAAGGATACTTTATACAGTTGCAATAGATATCAGTAACATACTTCAATATCAGCAAAATGACGGATAATCCATATGTTTTTGAGTGTGCTTGGGAGGTGGCCAACAAAGGTACGGAAGTCATACTCTCTACCTCATCGATCGATATATATATACATATACATATACATTTACAAATAAATATACATCATACATATACATATACATATACATGTACATATAAATATCCATATACGTATACATAATATATAT